TTGCGCTGCTACACTATTAAAAGTTATTAATTCAGGTAGGACAGAAGGCCTAGGTGTGAAATGCACGGCCCGCCACTGAGGTCTATATTAATACACTATAGGCTTTAAACTAGACCGTTTCTACTTGTCTGGTTTATATTTGGCTGCATATAATTTTTGAGAAAATTAAATATGTACTCATCTAATCTTTGAGTTAAATGTCTGTATTTATAGGCTACTATTCAGCTTTTTCATCCAGACCGTTTCTACTTGTCTGGTTGATATTTGGCTGCATGTCATTTTTGAGAAAATTAAATATGTATTCATCTTATCCTGGAGTTAGATGTCTGTATTAATATACTATTCAGCTTTTTCATCCAGACCGTGTTTACTTGTCTGGTTGATATTTGGCTGTATTTAATTGAGAAAATTAAATATGTACTCATCTGATCTTTAAGGAGTCATTTATTTCTGAGGAAATAAATGGTTGTTCCCAGGAGGAAATGGATAACACCTCATTATATGGTGCCCATCTCCCTTCGGTGCCCTCCAGCGAGTTCTAGTCTCAGTGTCTGACTCACAAAAGGGGGGTTTAAAATGGGGTCAGTTCGGTTATTTCCTGCCGGTCATCCGTTTCAGGATTGGCCGGATTGGCTTCTCAAGCTATACTAGAGACCAGTCTCGAGAGGCTGGTTCCTTTTAGTAGTCTCAGCCATAGTTATTTTGGGATAGACATATCTGAGGATAGTCGTTATCTCGAAGAAGGCTTCGACTAAGAAAGAAGTCCTGACGCCGAGGCTATCAGGCTTCTGAGGGTGGCCCCCCTCCGGGCAGAGACGGGTTCGAGAATCCGCGTCTCCTCGGCACCCTCTGGGGGGCGACTCTCTGAGGAGGGTCGCAGCGCTGCCAGTTCGGTTGTTCCCTGCCGGTTCGCCGTTTCAGGGCTCCGAGGTGTCAGCGTCCCCAAACGATCCTCCGAGGAGGGTTGTAGAACAGTCAGTTTGGTTTTCCCTGCTGGTTTGCCGTTACAGGGCACCGAAGTGGCTGTTCGACCAATACCAGAGGCCAGTCTTGAGAGACTGGTCCCCTTAGTAGATTTTATGGCAGCGTGGAAGCTACTGCCAAATATATCTCGTTGGGTCCTGCTCACTATAGAAAAGGGTTACAGAATTCAGTTCGGTTCTCATCCACCCATATTTCTAGGGGTCCTCCTTACAGTGGTGGACCCCGAGCAGGCTCTGGTCATGTTATCATTCCTGGGAAGCGACTCTCTGAGGAGGGTCGCAGCGCTGCCAGTTCGGTTGTTCCCTGCCGGTTCGCCGCTTCAGGGCACCGATACCAGAGGCCAGTCTCGAGAGACTGGTCCCCTTAGTAGATTTTCTGGCAGCGTGTAAGCTACTGCCAAATATATCTCGTTGGGTCCTGCTCACTATAGAAATGGTTTCAGAATCGGAGCAAGAAGTACAGACTCTTCTGCAAAAGGAGGCTATAGAAAGGGTTCCTCCTCCCAGTAGGGCGTCAGGGGTTTACAGCCGTTACTTCATTGTTCCAAAGAAGGATGGATGCTTACATTCAAACAGATTGTGTCACAGATTCAGTCCGAGGACTGGTTTGTCACGATAGATTGAAGGACGCGTCCTTCCATGTAGCCATCCGTCCTCCACATAGGAAGTCCCTGAGGTTCGCTTTCGGGGGCGAAGTGTACCAATATCGGGTTCTTCTCTTCGGCCTAGGTAAAACTAGGCCAGTCACTCACTGCGAAACGGTTTCAGAGACTGGTGGGTCTCATGGCAGCTGCGTCCAACGTAATAACTTTTGGCCTCCTGTACATGAGACCCCTGCAGTGGAGGCGCAGGACCAAGGGGTTTTCTCCGAGGGGAAATCCGTTTCGCATGATCACGGTCACGCGCGATGCCTACGTGCCTTAGTCATGTGGAACAAACCTTGGTTCCTCGCCCAAGACCCAGTGCTGGGGGCTTCTTGTCGATGTGTAGCTATCGACGGATGCTTCCCTCACAGGTTGGGGGGCGATCATGAGTGGTCGCTTGGCGAAAGGTCTTTGGCAGGACCATTTACTCTCTTGGCACATAAATCGGCTAGAAATTATGGCGGTGTTTTGATCTCTCTCTCTCTCTCTCTCTCTCTCTCTCTCTCTCTCTCTCTCTCTCTCTCTCTCTCTCTCTCTCTCTCTCTCTCTCTCTCTCTCTCTCTCAAGCACTTCCTGCCAGACCTGAGAGGTCACCATGTGCTTGTCTGCACGGACAACACATCGGTGGTCTCTTACATAATCCAGGAGCAGACATCCTGTCGAGGCAGGGGCCGAGGCCCGGGGAATGGAGACTCCACCCTGAGGTGGTGGAGCTCCTATGAAAAACTTTGGTCGAGCAGAAGTAGACCTTTTCGCATCTTAGAGAACACACACTGTCCACTATGGTTCTCACTCAGTCAGCCAGCTCCTCTGGGGCTGGACGCTATGATGCAGACGTGGCCGAGGTCACGTCTGTACACATTTTCCCCGATCTCTCTGCTCCAGGGAGTTCTGGACCCTCTGGAGATTCCGCTCGGGGGGGACTTTTTCTCTCAGTCGAGCGGGTTAATCCTTCCCCCCCGCCCAGAATTGTGGAAACTTTGGGCTTGGCCTCTGAGGGGGCCCAGCTCATAAGTTCAGGTCTCTCAACTGAGGTTGTTGAGACCATCCTCAACTCCAGAGCTCCCTCCACGAGGAAACTCTACACCTTGAAGTGGAAATTGTTCACTTCCTGGTGCGGAGAGCAGCAGCTGGACCCAGTCATCTGCCCTATGGTTGCAGTGCTGGAGTTCCTGCTGGAGCGTTTCTCCGCAGGTCTATCCCCCTCCATACTAAAGGTGTACATGGCGGCCTTAGCTGCTTACCATGTCCCTTTAAGTGGTGTATCCTTGGGGAGATACCCTGTAGTACGTTTCCTTCGCGGCACTGTGAGGCGTCTGACCAAGATACTAGGAGTATGGCTGCCTCAAAGGCTATGACTTGGATCTAGGCTTCACTCCGGGGTCTAGGGTGCTTGCTTCTTAGTGTGCGCAATGACTTCACACAGAACAGGCATTTGCTATTATGGCGTAGTGGGTATAGTGTTCCCACAGCGTCTCGACGCAGCTCGAGTTCCCTTGAAAGGGAACGTCTCAGGTTACGACTGCAACCCTGGTTCCCTGAGAGGGAACGAGACACGTCGCCTTGCCATACTCCCTGCATGCCTGTGATCGACTTGCTTCGGCCTATCAGAAGCTAGCGCGGTCTGTTTTCAGGTGTGCTTTATAGTTTCCTGGTCGATGACGTCACCCGCCTATGACGTCTCGTCTCTCCATTGGACTGATTATACACGTGCTTCACGACGCAATCACGCAGGGGCGTTCCCACAGCTTCTCGACGCAGCGTCTTGTTCCCTCTCAGGGAACCAGGGTTACAGTCGTAACCTGAGACATTTCACACATGTACACTTTCACAAGTCAAAGCAATTCATTACTACTCAAGGTTTAACAGTTGATATGACTGGACCAGTCATTTGGATTATAGGCCAATGCAGCAACAAATTATTTTACAGTAGACTAGGATCATTTAAAGCTCATTTACCAGCAGTGAAGGTGTTGCTGCTCCTGGCCTCTGGCTGTGGGTCTGAGGAAGAGCTGAACCCAGGGATGTCCTCCACAATGGGTCGGTTCACATTCAACCCAAGGGTCAGCTCTTTTGCCTGGGTATAATGTGGGGGTGCAGGACCACCACCTGTTTGTTTTTCTTTTCTTTTTTTACTCAGCCTTTTTCTTGGTTGCTTTTATAAACAGGAAAACATTTATTAACAGTGCCTTTTTAAAAGAGACTATAGTATAAGTAGTAAAAATTACCATTATGTAGAATATTCTAGTACTTGACTTTTACTTGTTCCCATGTTCTAGTGGGTGGTGACTCTGACATTACAATGAACAAAGTTATTAATTATTTAGAAATGATTAAAATACAAAATATATACTGTACTGTAATAAGTGATAAAAACATCTGACATGGTCACTACAAACTTAATTTGTCTGCTACTTTTTGCAAGCCCTCTCTCCTGGCTTTTGCACACTTTGAGGTGTTCCCTGTCGTTTTAATTAAGATTTCAAATTCAGCATATGCTTCAAGCAATAACTCTTGCTCTGCTGCGGTGAAAAACTGAGCACGCTCTTTGGCCACGGTGAGCAGCCAATAGCAGCGTTGCTGATCAATGTTTCTACTATCGATACATATCCCCTTTTAAACCAGCGCATGAACGCGCAATTATCTCAGATAACTCAATCCAGCTATACTAATCATAACCGGCAGGAGTGTTCGAAGAACCTGATTAGCCGGATCATGATGAGCACGATGATATTATCTTGGATGTCTCGTTTGATCTCGGATGTTTTAAGCAACGTACGAAGAACGGGCCCCTGCTCACATTCGACTGAATCCTCTGTTCAGTGTCCAGAATCTTAAGGGGTGGAGACGGACTTTTGATTTGAGCTCTGCGACTTCTCCAACATGGGGAGGTGGAGACAGACTTTTGACTTGAGCTCTGCGACTTCTAAGGGGCCTGCCTCGGGCCCTGCCTCGGGCCCTGCCTCGGGCCCTGGGTACTCGGTACCCTTTATCCCCCCAGTACCACGTCCCTGCAGCCAATTGCTAATTAACACAGCTGTGGGTGGCTGGGTCTCAGAGAGGTCATTTAGCACACACAAAGATCTTTGACCAGCTAAAGGGAGCCATTGTTCATGTTCTCTGACAGGAAGTGCAAAAACGCAGAGGTCAATTATGTAAAAAAAAAAAAAAATCACCTTTAATACACTCTAAGAATGATCAGGTGAACAATTTATAGTTTTTCTGTTTTTATTTTTCATATTTGTATAAAATTCACAGTTTAAGTGATTTATTAAGAACAAAATGGCATAAATATGCCAGAAATATGACATTGAATAAAAAAAAAATATATATAACAAATGCAAACCTATGGAAAAGATGAAGAACATTTAAAAAGGACTTCTGAACCACTTCAGCCCATTGGTCACTTGTCTACAAAAACCAACCAAACAAAAACAAACCCACAATATTCACTTGATGTTGCACTCTGACTATATTTGACCTTGGACTGAAAATAGTAACATTATCATCAGCCTCTCAGTGCAGTACAGAAAAAGACAGCCATGTCAGTTTAATGATCATACATGCCTTAGTGAAATAAAATCTATTGCGCATCATTTGAGGCCCGTTCACACCAAGAATGATAACTATAACGATAACTATATTATCGTCCACTCCACACCAGTGGACGCTTTAGTCCTGTTTATTCTAAGTGCACACTGCAGTTATGTCATCTGTCACTTTAAATGCTTCAGCTCTTTAAAGTTTGGTGAATTCTGATTGGCTGTAATTTTTTTTAATCGTTCATCAGCTGGAGTCCAGCAATATAATTTCTCTGTGCCATTATCGTTAGAGCTGTGATGTGGACTCTCGACCTTTAGAAATATCTTCATCATTATCGTTATAGTTATTGTCCTTGGTGCGAACAGGCCTTTAACGTGTGTCCATGGCGATTACCCAGAGTTCATGCATTCTGCAAAGTAAATAAACCATATATTTTGTATCTGTTTGGATTTTGCCTCACCTGAGAACTTGTATTGACTATAAATATGGCCTGTGGGCATGACTTCTTTTTTATTATTATCTTAATGATGCTTAAGAGTGTCAACTGCCTTCTAAGCACTGGGTTTATCATAGATGATTTGGTGCAATTCAGTGATCCCCTCAAAATATTACACAATAATATACAACAAAACAAGACAAGAGAAAAGAAAAGAAAAGTAATGTCTACACAATGGAAACAAATCTCTATAAGTAGATAACATTAGTGATGCTAAAGGATGTTTTTACACTCTTTACCAGAACTAATCAATACTATTTGTGAAGCTGTTATTGTTGTTACTGTTATTCATGTTCTCCTTTATGCTGTTGTTATTGTCGTTGAGGCGCAGGCCTTGCTGTTTCCTAAGGCCGCGAGGCATTACATTCTTCTGTACAAATAGTTTCTGGAGGAACCAGTCACTGATGCTCAAAGGGAAGTAGCTGCAGATGAAGTACATGAGCCTTAAACCTGGCCCGGCGTAGTATCGCACCTGAGGTTGAGGAGAGAGGAGTGCGTCCACAATGGTGTTGATGACAGGACTCAGATCCTCATTAGCTGTTTTTGCGTAACTCTGGAAGAGTTCCTTGGTCTCCAGCATATATTCTTCCCCATATTCTTCAAGAAGGCTTGGTGGCAAGTTCTGGATCAGGTTCTTGTACTCTTTCTCCCAGTACTCTGTGTTGCTGCTCTGCCCTGCAAGGTAAGAAAAAGAGCCGAAAGCATGATGCAACGGGCTAACAAAGGTGGGGGACATGGAAAAATCCACCCAGAACAGATTGGAGACATTGAAGGGAATGCAAACAGAGGTCTGGGGAAACTTTATTAAGTTATTTAAATTGCATTTATAGACCTGCATTTGGCTGGACTATCTGTTCAGTGGGCGTGTAAAGGAGGACTCAAATGTCAACTCAAAACCTGATGGATCCCTGAGGTTCAGATGTAAATAAACAGCTAAAATGAGAACTTTTTCTCTCAAGATGTGAGAAATATCTGACGGGGCCATTCACTAGGAAAAAGCAGCGCTGTCTTAATTTAATTAGCTTGTTTTGTTATGTGTCCGATAACAACACAAAAAGGTATACGTTTAGAAATGGAAGAAATAAATGGTAATTTCACATCTTGCGTCTTTTAATTAATTTAGCTACAAACAAGCTAATATCTACAAACCAGTTCATTCAACTACTGTAGATGTTAAAAAGGTGGTTGGCGGTTTATATACCAAATTGTCCATATGTGTGGCCTTGGGCCATGTTACACAATTTGCCTGAACAGTGTGTGTTTTATAATAAAGGAAAGCCTAATTTCATCAAATTACAACCACTGTGATGAGACTACAAAGAATGGCAATATACAGACAAGTGAATCATCACACTGGAGGCATACAGTGTGTGTAACTCGATTTCACATTGTAAAAATGTTAATCACCTGTCTTAAAGGCAGAGGGTAAGATAGTGGAGACTTTGACACCCCATGGCTCCAGCTCATGACGAAGTGTATTGATAAAAAGATTCAGGGCAGCTTTTGAAGCCCCATACGACGCCAAACAAGGGAATGGATGCTCACCTGCAGAATTACAAAGAGAAAGAATGATTAAATGACACAGATATCTTAATGACAATTTAGAGCACTGCACATCCTTGAACATTTTAATAAGTAGGGTTTAGTTAGCGCATTACTGTTTAAACCTGCCACATTGGCAGAGAACCGGTACAATGATGAAATTTATGGGACATACTCCAAAAGTATAATTGTAGGTTTTTTTTTTCTTTTACAGAGAGATTGTCATTCATTGTTGGTGTAATAAAGATCTGTATTGAACCCAGGAAGTCTGTGGAGGTTAATTGCAGTTTGTGACTATTTATAAAACATGTGGTTTTGCCTCAAGCCTTTGACGTATAAAAGAGCTTCTGTTCAAATCATCGGGAGAATGAACGGGAAGACAATAGGCCTCCTATAAGTCCTCAGAGGGAATGACTGTTCATCTCTATTGAGACAGTAGCATCTGCTGCCCATAAACCATTTTGTTTCCTTCAGCAGTGAGACTGCACTGATGGAGACATCTTTATTTAAAAGGGCTGTGCGCCAGTGTTTACGGAGAACTCAACGGTGTCCTGCGCCAGGCTGTTACTCACAGTATCACACTGTTTTGGCACAATGGAGGTAAACAAATGGAGACAAAATATGGGGAGTCAGGAAAAGCTAAAAAATATGCTGATTTCTCCTGCTGACTGAATTCCAGCATGAGCTTAAGCAGAGAGTTGCTCTCTGTTGAGATTGTTAGTGGACACTTGAGAAGAAAAGAAAACAGGTGGATTATAGTTTGGGCTTGGAATAGTGTTTGGTTAGGTGTGATGAAGCCAGATGGAAGGCATAAAATAAACATCTGATGGACAGAGATACATTTTTAAGCGCTGGCAGCTTCATGTGCATGGCAGAGAGAGAGCGAGAGAGACTCCTAATTAGATTTAGCACTGAAACAAGAACCTAAAAACACTCATAAACATGTCATCATATGTATAATTTCATTTACTCTTTCTTTTCTTTCCCTTTTATTAGCGGTGAAGTCTGAGTAGAGTAACTTGATATGTGCATAAGTGCATTAGCTACACTGGTTCTCACATGTGTATCTGTACCTGAAGGGCTAGAGATTGTCACAATCCGGCCTTTAGCCTGTCTGAGAAGGGGCAGGAAGGTTCTGGTGACATGGAGCGTTCCAAAGAAGTTGACCTCCATGCATCCTCTGTAGTTGGACATGAGGGAGAGCTCAGCATCCCCAATATTCACACACAATCCAGCGTTATTTACAAGCCCCCACAAATCTAGAGGAAAAAATCATGCCAGAATTTTATTCATGTAAAAATGAAGAAAATATAAGCTTTAAAGCAAAGGTCGAAGGCCCCCTGTTTTTTTTAACACAATATTCGAAGGCTCCCCAAAAATGCTTGTTTTAAAACTTGTTTTATTAACAGAAACCGGGAGTATTGAAATATTTAATAAATTAAACACTATTCATTTTGTGATTTTGTGTGTTTTTTAAAATAATTTTAATTTATATTTTAATTTATATTTTATTTTAAAATATTTGGTTTCACTTTATTTTGATGGTCCCTTTAACACACTGTTGACTAGAAGTAATGTTGCACCTACATGTCTACTAACTCTCATTAGAGTGTTAGTAGACTGGTAGGGTTAGGGTTAGAATAAGCTGACATATACTTGCAAAGTTACTTATAGTCAGTAGAATGTCTGTTGGGGGACCATCCCAATAAAATGTTAGCAGATATTAAGCAGACAGTCTAATAATCTAATAACTGCTAGTTGACATGTAGGTACAAAGTAACTTATAGTTAACAGAATGTTCAAAAGGGACCATCAAAATAAAGTGTTAACAAATATTTATAATAATTTTTTAATTTAAATACTTTTAATCTATCTTGTGGACCACTTGGATGTTTGCATGCTGAGATGTTTGCATGCTGAGATGTTTGCATGCCACTAGTCTAAAGGGCTCTAAAATTACTGGAGGAACACTGCAAGAGTGTCATCCATTGTGTTGGTCATCACATTTTCATAACACCCAAATTGCTCTGTCAGTGTTTAATAGCTGGTTAAATGAGAGGACAGCATGTTTATTCTGAGATAATGGTTATATTCACTCCCATCCTAAATTAGGGAAATTATTAGCAGAATAAGGAAACCAATGCCTTAACCAAGAAGGGAAAGAAGCAGGGAGAATAAAGAAGAAAGGAAGCCTGAAACAGTTAGTTAAAAACAATTCACTCTTATAAATAAAGATTCTTTATTGGGATCTATGATTTTCTGAAGAACCTTTGACATTCATGGAACCATTCCATTACACTAAAGGTTCTTTGTAGTGGAAAAACATTTCTTCGGTTAATTAAATTATTCTTTACACTAAAAAAAAAAAAAAGGTTCTTAAAGGAACTATTCACTGAAAGGTTCTTAGGGGAACCCAAAATGGAACCAAATGGTTCTTCTATGGCATGGCTGCGAAAACCTTCTTTTCGGAAACTTTATGTGTAAAAATGAATCTACAAAAATGTGAGCATTTGAATATGTCCTCACTTTTCCCTGCTCAGCATCTAAATTGTGGAGGGTAAAACTTTTTCTATGCCCCACCCAGGTTTTGAGAAAGGAAGCATGGAAAAATAGTTATTTTTTCTTTTGGTCCATAAGCCACATGGCGCTGTGGTGTGTGTGATGTTTTAAAATAAAACAGCCCCTTGATGTACTGCCAAATTACGCACCCCCCTTCCACCCCATCCACCCCATCCCCTCCTATTCCCAACACTTTCTCTGAGATTAGACATTCTTGTCTAATCTCAGAGAAAGAAAAAAACATGCTCACACACTATACACATACACATACACAGCCGACTATGCTGAATCGCTTGTAAAATAAACAAATGTTTCACCACTGAGCACGAATTAATTGATTTATTTGACCTACTTGTTGAAAGCATAGTTTCAAGATTGGGTTCAACAGAAATGTTAATGAAAACCACAAGCTGGTTAAAATTTATTAGGGGTAACCAAAAATCATTGGCAGTTTCAAAAATATAACATTCTTACAGGAGTATTTTAGGTTCACTGTGTTCAAACATGTGGGTGTGAGATTGTGTGTGTGTATTTTCTGGCAGAGTGCGAAAGTAAATCCTCACCTCTCATGCCAAGTTTGGCCTTGGTGTCGAGGAGGGCTTGCTGTACCTGCTGAGGCTGGGTGATGTCTACCTGCAGGAGGGTAAGGCGTGATGAACAGACTCTGCGCAAGTGCTTGGCTCCCTCCCCGTCCAGGTTCAATACGGTAGCAAACACTTCAAACCCCATTGCATCTAACCGCTTTGCTGTAGCATTACCAAACCCTGAATCACAACCTGCAGAGACAGGGGAGGGAAACATGAATGTTATGCCAATATATTAGAAATCAAAACACTGATACTCCTTCTAAATACTCACATTTTGGCAATATTTGACAGTAATTACACTTAAATGGCATGCTATGCAACACCACAGCAACATTGTTATTACCATAATAGCTGTTTTGGAATCATTTTAGAACACTTCAGCCAATTTCAGAAAACTTTCTTATGTGAAAAACGATCGAAAACTAGGGACGAAACACCATCAGCATTGGTGACATGTAATCTCACTACTATGACCTCTGAACATCAATAAAGTTCAACCAGAACGGTACAACAGGAAACAAAACAAAAGCAATTATAATTATATAATACAATTATATAAAGTCTTCATCCCACATCAAGTTGCATGACAGTGTGATGCATCAATCTCTGAAACATGACTATTATCTCTTTACTAAATTACACAACTGAAAGAGATAGTAAAGTTGGTGTCCTTCGGTTTGAAGACAATGCCTTTACCGTCCCAAGGGAGATTGTGGTTTTGGTGCTGTATTACTAAAATGTTAAAAATGCAAATCAGGACTCAACTAAAAAAATCCAGCCATGGTTACAGATGCATGCTCATGGTTGATATCTGGGATGCACACACATTTACAGAAGTGGTGGCAGGGAATGACACATTAATAAAAAAATATAACATCATACCAAACCCATAGGAACTTTACCCCCAAGACACAGAAGAATGTGAAAAAAAGACAAAAAGGAGAATAACAGCAGACTTTCTGTTCTTTTTCTATCCCTGATGTGCAAATTGTTCTTGGAAATGAACGGCAGTACACTACAGATTCTGGAAATAAAAGTGACATGAATAGATACACAGACATTAATGTTTCTCTCAATGTAAGGTCTACAACATAATTGAACTACTGGAATTTAGAAATGAAAGTTTTGTGTGAGTGCCAATTTTTATAATCTTTGTTCTTTTACAATTGATTATTAGGAATTTTGTTTCCATCCAAAACAACTTATTCCATTCTTTGTCCTTTTTGTTTGGCAGGCAAGTTGTAAAGCTACAAAATAAATAAAAAATAAAATGAAAATAATAATAATAATAATAAAACTGATGCATGTTAAGTGTATCAGAGTTCAGTGACCTCACTTTTCACCTCGAGTTTGTTAATGTGTGGCAAACAATTATACACCAGTTATGATAACAGCAGTTACACAAAACCCCAATCTCACCTCTGCATTTTATCTCAAGGTCCTCTGAGGACACACACATATCGGTCAGTGCACTAGCTGGGCTCTTTCTTTGTCAGTGTGTTATCCGTCATAGATACACAAAGTATTCCTCAATAAACACGCCGAGCCTGCAGAAGGGAGGGTCTTGGGATAGGGGAGTTAAAAATACATGAATCAAGACTAACATACTTTAGATTATTATTATTATTATTATTAAATAATGCAACTGTTCAGATTTACCTTGAATTATAACTGTTTATTATCACTCTATTATCATCACTTAGATTAAACGTGGATGATCTTCTTTTTAAATATTGCCATTACCCAGATAAGTTATTCCCAGCCAGGTGTACGTGTTCTCCAGCAGGTACTTAAGAAGGCTCCGGGTAATTCTAATTCTGGTCATTCTAATTCTGTGGTAATGCTGTAGGAACTACATGGAAAAAAATTATACTTTCCATTTGAAATAAATGAGTGAAAGTGAAAAAGAGGATCACACAGGGAAATCTGTGTAGGGCCTATTGGTTCTGAATGTTTTTCCCAACTAAAGTCAGAACTGCTGTCAAACTAGGCATCCGAATAAGCACCAGTGGGAAGAGAAGAGAGAGCGCAGACGACAGACCCAACAGACCCAACATCCACAGAGACAGGCATGATCTTCACTTGCAGTAATTGCAACAGAACGATGAATGCAATGTTTTTCAAGAATCGGGCTCTACTGTAACAGCAGGCACTGTAACTCAACAAATGCCTAGAGACCCCAAGGTGCAGATTCCATTGTCTTTCGAGACAGAAGGATGCCAATGTAAAATGATGATGTAGCGGAGAGGTCAGACTGCACTTCATTTGTGCATCTGTGCCAAGTAAATCCTCTCTGAACTCTAGCCCCACGATGCCACACTTAAACCTTGCTTATCCATTTAATCTCTTCACCTGGCTTGGACATCTAAGCATAGCGGGAATGCCATAGGTGCCCCTCCCCTACATTTTTCTCCAAATATTTACAGTGTACTGTAATGTAACATTGATATGGGTATTATTAGACACCTTGGGTCGAGCATATCTCATCCCACGCTCAATTGGTCTGCATTCTGGAGTTGCTCCAGGGACATTGGGTAAGGAAAAGACCTACCCGAGCCCTGATGAGCCACCTCTGATTTCCCACACACAGATATATGTGACGGCAGTGAAGCCCACAGGGTTTGGAGGACAGTCGGTACTGGCAGTGTGTGCTGATCAGTGAAGCAATATGAGGAACTTCCCTGGCTTCAGTGAAAAAGTGTTAAACACAAAACAATGAGGCTGATGGAGAGACAATGAAGCACAAACCAAGGCAGACACACATATAGTGGCCCAAAAACATAGAACACTTTGCGACACTTAATGTCTGAATGTCATTACATTAAACACAAAATATCAAAGCAAGTAGCATCTGCAAACGAACAATGCTAGACCTTTAAAACTATCTGAGCTACTTTTAAACAGAAAAAAAATATTTAAAAAAAAATATTTGACAACCAGAAAGAATCTAAATAGTTTTTTTTTATTTAGCTTTTAATAATAATAAAATGTATAATAAATTTAAGATAATTAAACTTACTTCTATATATTTCTATGTGTAGCTTAAGTGTCTAAATAATATTTGGGACCAAGATAAATGCATCTTTGGCCTCACTCGCTTGTGATTTCACGTGCAAAACCATGCTGATGATAGAGGGGCTAGCGTTCAGATCTCTGAATGGTGTGGGATTAATAGTGCTTTCCTCCTGCTGTCCTCAGCATGTAAACACAATGAGTGTGTCTCATGCTACCTGATCAGATTTCCTCACTGCCCTTCATAACACATGCAGACTAATGTCACCTGGTACTTAGTAGCTCATTTAGAGATCCGGATTGACGTCATACATTTCAAAGAAATGTTGGGGTTCTGAATGAATTATACAGTAGTTGATCCTGACGAAAAAATCTCCATAACTCAAATGGGGAGATTCAAAAGAAGCAAGTGTTAGTGCGGACAGATGAAGAGATGAGTGTGTGTTTATTTAACACTAGAAGTGCACACCTTCATGGTGCTAGAATCTGGTGTTAATCACAGCTTAGTTCAGACATTATGGTTTACTGGGAAATCAAGAAAATAGAGAGAGGTAGTAAAATGTGAGTATACAAGTTTCAGCTAGCTATGCAGTCTTTACTCTTTACAGAGTATTATTAAAGTTAAAAGAAGGAATTTCCTGAAAAAAAAAAAAACACATTTATACACAGAGAACATAAATGTGTGCACCATTCCTTTTTATTGGACAATTTATGGAAATGCTCCCAAACAATAAGCACGTTTTTATCAAAGAAAGCGACTTCATTATGTAGGAAGGAAGCATTCTTTGAGCAACAGATGCCTCAGAATAATTATTAGTATATCAAGCGTAGCGTCAGTTCTGGCAGGTCACGTTAGTCAAGCTTGCATTAGCTGACTCTCAGCTGATCCACGTCTACCTATAAGAATACGATGCCTATCACTGTATGTATATATAAGCTCCTTCAGTATAGCTATAGCGTTTCTCAGGAGATCATCACCCTCCTCCATCCCCAGCTCCTCCTCTCGCCCAGTCAGGATTTGGCATTCTGATTCCCCCTGAATCAGAATAAATTCTCGAAGTATGTTGTACTTTACATTTTTTAATTAATTATTTCTGAATACATTAATGTTGGTTCTGTTCTGTTACCCTAAGGCGGGTTATTGCTGCTCTCCCTGCTCTTATCCATGCTAGACTACATGGATGCGCAGGGAGTTCTCGCCCAGAACGGAACCATACCGCCAATCCTAACTGCATGCTAATTGTCAATCATATTTGACGATAGTGGTCCTGACAGAAATAATAATTAAGAGTCAAGATTGCAGAAGTTTACATTCTAGTTCTTGAACATTACACTTTAAAGTTATTCTCCCATAGCTGGTGATTAACATGTACATGGTGTACTGGCCTTGCAGTCTATAGACGTTTTTTTTTTTCAGCCTGACTCTAGCCAGACTAATGGCTTTAGGTTGCTTAGTCAGCCAATTCTGTAACCTTAACCCCCTGTCTCACAGCAATTCAAGCCCTGAATGTGCCTTTCAGCTGGCTTTGTAAGAGGTTTACAGGTTTTTCCACTTTCGCCTGGTTTTTGGCATGAGAGGGACTTACAGCTTTGAGAACGGTAATTTAAGAAAATATGCTGATCAAAATTACTCAAAAGTATGATACTGTGTAATTATATGCTAGCTCTGGTACAAAAGAAACAAAGACAAGAAAATGAAGAAAACTAAAATCAAATGGCATCTGTGCCAACCTCAGAAGCTCACGCTGGTTGTGTGTGCATGAATTAAAGCAAGCAATGAAAGAGGTTGACTGAGTTGATGGTTACCATGCCAATAGACGACAGACAGCTTTGGGGGATTTAAGGAACCCATATGAGTTATTTCTGAGAAACCCACGTCCATCAAACGATTATAAGCTTCCTTGGAGTAACTGATTGAACTTAACAGCTTGTCCTGCTAAGTGTATAACAGAAATGCCAGTTAGTTTGCTATGGCAGCTCATGGAGAAAAACTTGACAAGGTCAAAAATTAAATGACATAACTATCAAAAAAAAAAAAGAAAAGAAAAAAAATCTCACTTAGCTGTTTGCGCACCTCCCAAACATTCACATAAAACATTACATTTTCATTCTGAATGTCCAGGCTAATAATATAGTATGCAGGTGTAGTGTGATATATTTTTCATACATACATATACAGTAGTGCATGAGTTACTCAAACTCTTCAGGGTTCATGCACTGCTTGTGCTTAAACCTCCCAGTTTTATTTATTTATTTATTTTTTTGTGGTTTGCCATATAGGAAAAAGGTAGAATAGTTAGCAAAGAAAGTTAGCAAGAAATTGTTTGTAAAGTAGGTGTTTAGAGCTGCTTTGGCCTTTAAAGGATGACATATTCCTGAACAGTATACGTGCTCAAATGAAGTACATGGCTACTGAAGGAGCTTATGATCCAGATTAAAAAGGAGTTCTAAAACTGCTTAACAGTAAAATAAATCATCACATAATTGCCTTTATTCCTCAAGGTCTGAGCTAGCAATTACACAGTGTTGTTGAGATTCTTTTTAAGAGCTGCTTATTGCACATTTCCCATATGCACACAGTTTTCATATTGAGCTAATGTAATTTTCTATCCCCCATGCCTAAAACTAACCCCCACATAAAACTTTATTCATTTGTAGGATATTATTTTGAACATTATTTTTATGTTTATTAAGTTATTTTCTCTTGGGGACAGTGGGCTCAACTGACACAGAGAAAAAGCAACAAGTAGTTTTGAAGCTTGGTGACTGGACAAAAAGTGCTGAGCAATTAGAGCAAAAAAGGTATAGTTTACTCAAAAATGAAAACTCGTGTCATCACTTATTTATCCTCATGACATTCTAAACCTGTATGACATGAGGGTGAGAAAATTATGACATAAGTTTTGGGTGAACTATCCCTTTAAAGCAATACACTCAATGCAACTACAGAAGTCTCCAAAGAGCACTTAAAGAAACAGTGCATAAAGGTGCAGATGGAGAAATACAGCTATAATTTGTAAATGAGTTGTAAGTAAACCACCAGGTACAACACAGCAGCTCTTTGATTTGATTTATGGCTTACACTGCATTTATGTTGCATAAGATCATTTAACTTAGAATCTGATTAGCTCAGCCAATTAAGAAAAAGCCAAATCACCTTATAGTACTCTCATCCAGCAGGACACAATTGAGGTTAACACAAAACACATACGAAGTACAACACAATCAGAACGTACCTTACAAATACCACTCAAACTTGGCTTACCTTGAATACAAAGGCACATGACCAATATAATTTGGTTCATACCACATGTTTTCCTCATTGCCATAAAATATGGGTCAATACAGTTAGTGATTAATTATCACACTGAGCTGAACATTACATTCTCTTTAGCTTGATATGATCTATGGGTATAGAGAAAGTTGTTATACAAACATAGTACAGGGTGTTCTGGATCAGGTCCAAGTCTGTACTCAAACACATAAAAGCATAGCATGTTCTGACAAGGGGGGTACAAAATTGCCGCTCATTCAGTCATAATACAGGTGGAAAACGTTCTAATTTTACCTCTAAAAGTTACTGAATCACTAAATAGGAAAACAACAGCAATCATGATATAATTGTGGCAAGTTTGCACAACAGAATCCACTCAGCATGACCTACATTTCCCAGCTGTTTGTACAATCTGTGCTTATCAATTCACGTGCATTTCAGGTCAATACATAATGATCCTCTCAGTCAGCCATGAATCACAAGAAGAAAACAAAACTGTCATCAAGCACTGAATATAAACAGTCTGAACAATGACAAACATGATCACACATTTTATTCTATAATTTAGTTTCGGTTCGGTTATTCTTTTTCTTCCTGTTCTTACCTGTGATGAAGACTGCCTTGCCCTCAACTGGCAGGGAAGGTTTGGGGGTGGCCCACGTAAAGTACAGCCAGCAGGACACACAGAGGACCAACCTTGCCAGCACAGCGGGCATGCACAGGGCACACAGTCTCTCCACCAGCAGAGTGGCACCCAGCCATGCCACCAGTGAGGGCATGACACCGATATGGAATGCCAGAAACTTCTTCACCGCTCCACCAACAAAGATGGACATTACTCCGATGTAAATCCAGAAAGACACTGAACAGTCTTCCATTGTACTAGAGGTGAAAATGCTTTGTACTCTCTCTTTTTTTCCCTTTATTTCTCTCTCTTTTACTGATACTGGCACCTTTCCCTCTTTTTCTCTCTCTCTCCCTCTCACTCACTTTGTCACTGTCTCTTTCTCAAGTGGGATCACACTTACAAATGAGCAACCATGTGCCTGCTCAGTTCCCTACAATCTCGAGCTCACACGTTCCAACTCAGAGTAGGCGAGTAAGAGCTAGTGAGCAGATTTGTCTGACTGCATGTGTGTATATATAGTGTACTCTCCAGGAGAGGGGAGGGACTGTGCTCAAGCAGATGTAATCAAAGCCCAATAGGCAAAGCTTCACAACCCCCCCCCCCCCCCCCCCTCTAACTTTCTTCTGCAAGTTATTGGAATTGTGAGTGAGAAAAGTATAAAGTCTTTTTTTTTTAAATACTGCTAAATGGGGACCTTACACAATTTAAGACAATTTAAGCTGCTCTGAAACTGTGTACTGCAAAAAATTTAAACTCACTTGACTTGAATTACAGGTGTCAGTGAGACACTGTGACTTTCCCTTTGTGGCTGGTTGTACTACATACGTTGTGCTTCTTTGTGTGCACGTGTGGTGACTGTCTTTCCGCTGTGATTAATACATAAAATGTCCCTTTGATGCATTTTGGCATCAGTGTATATGTGTTATAAGCCCGACAGGTCTAATTTGCTGGTCCTTTCAAAGTTACATTAAACAAAATTTTATTCACGGGAATGTACAAAAGTAAGCAAAACCAGGACAAAAAGTGCTGCTGGCAAATAAAAAGAGAAGGTGTTTGTATGTGTGCAATGAGGAAAGAAAGTTCTCATTTACAGGGTCATTCACTTTTCTTCTTAATGCAGATGTTTTGCATGTCTTCACAAACATATGACAAAAACTCCAAGAAGATGTAATATCAACAAAACATTTAAAAATATTAAAGATCTACATATATATCTCCTTTTGGTGACACCTGTAGATTCATGCTTCCCCTGAGCACACATTGAGAGCTGAATAACAAAGATATCAACAGTACTATAAATCCTAGGAGCAATAATCTGACCTTTACACTGAGAAAAGGTGAAGCATCAAAGAATAAGAAGTAATGAGGAACAGAGGGAGGAAGGGGGGCAAACGGTGGATGTGAGGCACCTACAGACATTGACCTCATTCCCTCATCAGGTGTGTTATTTCATCCTGAACCTCTTGCCATCATTACCCTATTTCTGTCATTTACACACATCTTTCTTTAGAACGTGTGTGAAGTAGGTTATAAGCTCTGTTTGTTTCTTTTCATCTCTCTTTTTCTAAATTTCATCCCTCCCTCGGAAGCTATTGATGTTGAGTTTGTCTAATTACACATGACAGTACAGTACACAACAAGAAATTACACAGCTCCTCCTTCACCCAGCTCTGACAAAACAAACTCCAAACCCCATTATTCATCTCTAAGCCTTAATAGTAGTTAAAATGTTTCCTGCACATAATTGCTGGACACAGTGTTCCTTGGCCTTGAGGTGAATGACCTTTAGAGGTCACAGAACATATTGCCATTCATCAATATCACCACTGGTCAATCCTGTGCCACACACGCTCCACGACATTCCCATACGGTGATCACATCGCATGATACTCATTCTTATGTAAGCCTTTGGCACGAGGACTAACTTTTATCATTTTGATGGGTTCAATGTTTTCCACCTGAGTTCATAAAAGAGAATGATTATAGGTACAGAATGCCTAATAAGGTAGTATTATATTAGTTTATGATTACAAATTGCGTGTGAGTTCTGCACTTTAAATGTGGAAAAAATAGTGTTAATACTTAGGCATAAACGGGGAAATTAGTTATAAACATGCACCTGCATGAACAAGTGCAGTGTTGATATGCTTTTACATATCTGAGGTACAAGGCCACAGTAGTGATATTCCTCCTCAAGTCTATCACTGTTTGTCCATGGGGGGCGATAGAGAGCTGTACAACTATCACTCCTAGAAGAGCAAACCTTCTGGAGAAAATGTTCTGGCCAGAGCACACAACAAACTGAATGACTTACTTCACAAAACAGAACATATTTCAGAAAGAACTGTAAAAATTAATAACGGAAGTATTTATGATTTGCTTAAAGTAGCTGCATTATTTTTTTTATTTTTTTTTAACAAAAAAGTGTATTTGGTTGTTGGGCTTCTGTTTTCTTTATTTCAAAGTAAAGATGGAGGATGTGAAATTCTACTTATCTCTCTGAGATCCAGCACTCTCTATGTGACATTTGATTGGAGGATTGGAGGGTTTGACATTATCTTGTTGTTAATGAACACGTTTGCATTTGTTTAGAGTTCATATGGGAGCATTATCAACCAGGAATATCAAAACATCAAGAGTGATTGCCCCAAAGGATGCACCTGGCTTCAAACTTCTTGACAGTTATACAAACATGCATTGAACCCAATGTCTCCAGCAAGATGGTTGCCTATAGATTTATAGACCACCCAGCAATTCCTGTTAGGTCAACTCAGGAAAGTGCATTTGTCTAACCATTTTTGAGGTATTTAAGCAGTGAAAAATGGCTGTGGCTTGGTCTTATATCATCTTCTGGCTGAAAAAATAGCCACATATCAAACATTAAACAGCAACATTTGTTTGGCTGGAACTCAATGCAATACACAGAACAGCAAGATCAAGTTGTTTCTACTGTCAATCTCCAAAATCCTGAGGTCAACGTGAGAAGACAGTAACCCTTTCACAGGATACCCTTAACATCTAAAATAAACTCATTGTTCACATATTTGCCTCCTTTGTGCATGACCAAATCAACACCATCTCTCAGAGTATTAGATCCTTCAATATTTCATAATCTCCTTCCATCTCCATAATCTGATTATCTTTAAATAGCATTAATTAAATAGTATGACAGTGGCAGAAATGAAGCCAGAGTGTAATGCTCTGCTGAAGCAGACTCCCCTTTGTCAGCTCACTATTCTGACAATGGGGATCTCGCTCGAGAGCCTATCTACTTCGAGTGTAACTAAACGAGCCAATGCACATTGGCATGCAATAATTGCACCAGCTGCTATGCATCGCAGCGCGAGCATATAATGAGCGGCAGGTGCATCGTATCCTTGTCTTTCGCTTCGGAGCCAGATGGTGTAAGCTGTCTCCTGCAAGATCTACTGTGTGTGTCTTCGAGTCTCTGTGAGAAGAATCTCTGTTTCCTGGTGTTGGTGTGACGGTGCGGACAGTGGTGGTCGCGATCTCTCCTGTGTATCCCCGGTTTAGAGCAAACAGCTGTTTTCAAAGCTTTGTTGGTTCGGAGGGCATGTCCAAAGAGAGTGAGTGCTCAAACAGGATTGCACTATCCCCTGTGTGTAGCTGCGGCTATCTCCCTGTCCGCTTCGGCACCACAGAGAGTACTTCTGAAAGAGCTAACATGATCTGACCCTGCGTCTTTTTCAATTAAGATGTCATTCAGATCATGTGTTTCTGGATGTGGCCAATGTCTGACTCTGGCTGACGGTCATGATCGCTGTATCACGTGTTTGGGCTATAGGCACGCTAAAATGGCGCTCATGGATGACTCATGTTCCCATTGCGGGAACATGACCATCACAGCGTTACGGTTGAGACTCCGATACCTCGAAAGAGGTGGAGCCCCATCGCTTATTCCCCGATCTAGTGCTTCTTCTGCCCAGCAGAAGGGGCCTACTTCAGTTAATAGCCTTGGTGACCTGAGGATCACAGTGAGAGGTAACCCGCAGAGTCAACCTCCTCGGGCCCCTCACTCCTCTGTAACGCAGCAAACCGCGGAGCCTACAAGAGAGCGTGCTAGGCTGTCCGCGGCGGTCCCAGTCGTTTCTTTTGGAGCTCCACCGGATGATCAGATGTCGGTCGACCCAGGGGTTATGCAGGAACTGCGTACAGCATCGGACCTCGCCCTCCGGGCGACGAAAGTCACTGCACGCTCCCTGGGTCGGGCAATGTCCACGTTAGTGGTCCAGGAGCGACACTGACGACTTTCGTCTTAACGAAATCAGTTGTGCGAACACAGGGACATGGTGCTCCGTCACCTCAGCCTGTTGGGTCTTCGGGTCAACTGGGACAAGAGCAAACTCTCCCCTGTGCAGAGGATCTCTTATCTCGGTATGGAGCTGGACTCGGTCAACCAGACAGCGCGACTCACAGAGAAGCGCATCCGGTCAGTGTTGAACTGCTTGAGTACAATCAAGAGCAGGACAGCGGTCCCACTGAAACTTTTTCAGAGGCTTCTGGGGCATATGGCATCCGCAACTGCAGTAACGCCGCTCGGGTTGCTTCTTATGAGACCGCTTCAGCACTGGCTTCACGGCTGAGTCCCGAGATGGGCATGGCAGAGCTGCACGTACTGGGTGCTGCACGTACTCGCCAAACTCTCAGCCCGTGGTTGGACCCTTCATTTCTACGGGCAGGTGTTCCCCTAGAACAGTGGTTCTCAAGCTTTTTTCGTTGCGCACCCCTTTAAACCTTTAAAAAAAATGGAAAGATAAAAAAAAAATGTGCAATGAAAAACACCTGCAATAGTTTCACTTTGTAATGTCATTATTTAATTTAACAGTAAGAGAGAATCATAATACAGAACTGAACTTTTAATTTAAATAAACAGCCCCAACAGCAACAGCCCCCATTCTTCTGAGGAAGGACCTGCTTTCTCAGAGACGGGGCACTCTATGGCACCTGCGTCCAGACCTCTGGAAACTCCATGTCTGGTCCATGGACGGGACGCTGAGTTTCTAGGTGACCTACCCCAGGCGGTGGTACCTACCCCTCAACGAGACGCCTCTATGCACTGAAGTGGAACCTGTTCGTTGAATGGTGTTCTTCCCACCGAGAAGACCCCAGAAGATGTCCGATCAGAGTCATGTATTTTTTCCTGCAAGATGGGTCGAAGTGAAGGCTGTCTCCCTCCACCCTCAAAGTGTATGTTGCCGCTATCGCCGCACATCACGATTAAGTTGAAGGTAAGTCACTGGGAAGGCATGAGGGGAGCTAGGAGACTGAACCCCCCCCCCCCCCCCCCTCCCCCCTCCCCTGCTAGCCTGGATACGTGCGTCTATTTGCTATTTGAAATGGCTAACCCTGTTGAGTTCCTCCGTTACCCCTGCGGTAGTCAGACGTTGCGGAGCGTCTGACACCAGGCCTGCACTCGTATGCAA